TGTATATTTAGTATCGGTATTGCACCCGTGCCGAACCGGGGCGGATGGCTAGTAAATATTAAAAGTGATACCTTTTTACGTAAATTTTGTCCGACCTTGATATCTTGTCCAACTGAAAAGTTAAGAGGGGGACTATTCACGTCCCCATTGTATATAAGCAACTTACTGAAAAATGAAATCATACAGTACTGGAATTATTCCAATAGGTGATACTTATTTTCTAACTTAGGTTGGGAACTTCCATTTTTCTTTTAAATTTTATTTTGACACTTCCAACATAATTTTTATTGTTCATCTGGAATTACACTACATCATTATTAGTTTATGATTCCATAAAATTATTTGCCTTACCAAGGCACCAGATTAGTTTTAATATTTGTTTCAACTATTTGCATAACAGTCTATAATTATTCCACAGTTTACAATTATTCTACCGCCTATAATTATCACACCAGCCCAGGTGTGATAGCATAGAATTTCCTTATTTGAGAAAAGAATGATTGTTATGAAAAAATGATTAATAATTTTAGGACAGTCATATGCATGAAGAAGCAAATAAATTATGGCAGTGTGGACAAAACCACTTGGTTTTCTTTACCCTAAGAGTAGTTGTTTCAGTGTTTTTCCATATCCCAAAAAATGTTAATATCAAGAAGACTATATCTTTCAATAACATTTTGCAGATATTCAAAAACCAAAAATATATAGTTGGAAGTAGGACAGAATAAAATACAAGTTTTTTCGACTAATTTAAGTCTTTAATGATATACGAAAATACATTGTTATCAAAATAAGGTATAACACAGTTTCATCTCCATATCAGTATTGCGTGATACTCTCAATGAAAATTCCCCAGCAAGCATAACACTAACTTCTCCACGTTATTCCTGAACTTTCTACCTGCAATAACAATGGAAGTTAACAGCTAATCTAAGACCCGGGATGCAATTCTTCAAAAATCAATTTCGAAATTTCAAATTAGGTCATTTTTTTAATGTGTCTGCAGTCATTTCATTGTGACAAACATCTAGTAGTAAATATCATGTTTCATAATTATTGTGGAGTACAAGTTACCGACTATCATCCAGATGTTATTTATAAACTTAAATGGAAAAAACCAAAAATTTTAGTAGGATATCTATTTTATTATCCAAAGAAACTTTTGCAGAATATATATACTTTCCATTCCGATCCACTTCCAAAACTCTATTTTACTAACTGACTGACTTCCGCAGAAGATGAAGGCTTGCACCGCTGGGCAATATTCTATGTACATAAAAGCAATGGATAAATTCAGTTTTAAGTAGAGAAATAAGTGACATCAACATTGGATTTAAAAAATATTCACTACTTCTCTTTATTGATATTTTATGTTCCATTTTTAAAAGGCATGCAGTAATGAATCATTCAAAATGAATTATTTCAATGGAGTGCTATCTCTTCAGATAGCGATGAATAAAAAAAAGAATCTTATTATAGCTTCATAACAAAGAATGCTAACGGTTTCCAGCAAAACAAAAGATTTTATGATTGATTCGGCTTACTTGATGAAGATCCATAGTAATTTCATAAACTACACCTTGCGAATTAATCTCCACAAACTTTATTTGAAATATATCACAGTAGGTCTATCGTAATTAAAACGTACTAGTACGTTTCGATTGTTACTATCCACAATCGTCAACAGGTGGTGACTGAACTTACTCCGAGAGGTGATTATTTTATGGGTTATTCGAACGCCTTCACCTATCTCCTCTTCCCTCTTTCCGCTTCATCGGTTTAGCAGGAGTTGATCGTTTTCCCGCTTGATTGAAGGTTTCCATATGTTGGGTATCTCTACTATAACTTGGCTGAATGCGTCGTTGGACAATATATATGCAGCTTCTTTAAACTTCCTCTTAAACCATTGTTTCTTTATGTGGATCTCAGCTTGGGATCACTTAATATTATGGTTATGAGTCAAAACATGCTCTGCTATTACCGATTTGCTGGATTCTCCTCGCTGTGTATTTTTCTTGTGCTCGGCAATGCGGACTTTCAATGGCCCCTTAGTTTCACCGATATAGGATTTGCCGCACCCACAGGGTATCCGGTAAATGTAATTCTTGGAATCGCAGTCCGCATTTGGTGGCCTGGTTTTCGTGAGACTGCTATGGATGGTGTTTCCGGATCTGAAGCAGGTTCTGATGTTTTAGTTGGATCGAATTCTTCTTATCCTTTCCGACGATCCTCTGACGTAGGGAAGGGCAAGCACTGGCTGTGACGGCTTATCTTCGATGTGAGGCTGAGGCTTCCATGTGCTGTCTTCCAGCCAAAATCTGTTCCACCATCACTTTGAAGTAACCATTCTGTTGAAGATATTTTTTTATGANAAAACGTCAGGTTAATTTCAATATTGTAACTTTTTCAGTGCTTGTGAAAAAAATTGTTATACAAATTTTATGTACCCCCTTTAAGGGGCTGTATCTTAACAAAGGATGCTCCAATGAAGTTTTTTTATATGACAGATCCTGTCTTTTTTTCGATGAGGAATCACCTTGAATGTTTTACACTTATTCAGTTACACCCTGTATATCTCAGAAGAGATATATCTCACAAGATGCAATATTATGGCATATTAGAATAATTGGGTTCAAAAACATAATCGTTTGAGAAAAACCAGTAAAAAGAGAACTCTTAGGTTTAGCCAATATACAGAAACTTTAGTTCAAAATATATGTAATCATTATTGACCTCGCAGTATCGCAGAGTAAAACAGTACAGTAGTTGAAGCAGTATGGACATATTAGGCTGTAGACACTCGCACACCAATACATGGCATGATTACAATGATTCACGTGTGTCACCAATTTTACATCCCTGTTGAGTGGAGATGTGTACGTTACTTTTATGAAGAGGGGGTAGATTAGATTAGATTGTCGGGGAGCTAGCCTATGGCCTGATTCAGTGCGACCCTTTTAGATCTATTGTGATGCTTATTGGTTGTTAGAGCTCATTGTCTAGCTTGACCTCTTTGATGAAACTACATAACCTTGACACTGACCCCTTGATATATCTGGCAGCCTCTGATTTTTCTTTTCCACATCATGCGTGTTTCAGCCTTGCTATTGCTTCGCATTCATAGAGCATTGACGGAACCTGCAGTGGGTTTCTTCTGTCAGACCCATGTTGCTCATATGTTCTCTGAGTCGGCTATGCCCCGTTAGTAGAACCACCACTACCCTTACAACCTTACGGTTGTGGTTTAGCAGGTCATTCGTGAATCTGGGTAATGGTTTCTTTATGGACTCTTTCGCCTTCCTCATTCCTGGGAGCTTATTCCACCAATCTATCTATTCAGCTTGTTTGATCTGCCTCCGTATATACCGGCTTCCACTCCTTCATGGGTCTTTGAGCCATCTGTATACCAAGTTTCTTCCGCTTTTACCGGTGGGCCGTTTTGCCAGTGGGCCGTTTTGCCAGTCCTCTCTACTTGGTATGATGATTTTTAAATCTATTTGGAAGTTGTACTGCGGAACTGTGTTATCCACGGGCATTCCTAATATTGAATCTGCCTTCAGTTCATTGTACAGTTTCAAGTATTCTGCACAGTGTGACTGGCTGATTAGGGTTTTCCCCTGCATTAGCCTGTGTGTCACCAGTCGAGCTTCTCTTTGTATGTAGTGCAATGGTAGAAGTCCGAGTAGGACTTCAAGTGCTGCAGTTGGGGTCGTTCTCATGGCTCCCGCGACACTTAGGCACGCCAGCCTTTGTATGCCGCCTAATAGCCTAGCCCTACCCGATAGCATTGTTCTTGTCCACCAAGTCACTACACCGTATGTTATCATGGGTCTCGCTACCCTTGTATGTAACCAGAGTGTCATTTTTGGGTTCAGCCCCCAGTTTTTCCTGCACATTCCCAGGGCCATCCTGGCTATATGTGCTGTTTTTTGGATGTGGAGGTTCCACGTGAGCCTGTGATCGAAAGTCACACCTAAGTATTTTACTTCCGTGGCGAAAGGAATCTCCTCTTCATTGAGTATTGGTAGTTTTACTCCTCTCATCACTCTTTTCCTTGTGAATCTAATGACAGTGGTTTTTTGGGCATTCACTGAGAGGTTCTCATGCTCTCACCATCTGCCGACGATGTTCAAGGGTCTTTGCATGAGCTCCGAGATGACACCTGCAAATTTCCCTTTTGTGACTATCACCAGATTGTCAGCATATCCCAGGCAATATATATACCTTCTTCGGATAGCTTTCTGAGGAGATCGTCTACTAGGGTTGCCCACACCAATGGCGATAGTACGCCTCCTTGAGGGCGTCCCTTGTCTGCTCTTACCCGTATGGTAGCCTCTCGTAGAGTGGTGTATATCATCCTTCTTTCTAGGCTGGCTTTTATCTATCGACACACGACAACTAAAAGCCAGCCTAGAAAGAATGATGATATACCACTCTTTGGGGTACCAAAGCTTACTTTTACATTTAAGTTTATTGATATATTTTATTCTCAAGTTTATGTGTTTAGTTTTTCTTTCAATTTCATGTAACTTTTGAGAATTNTCGACATTTTCCATATTGATGGTACAGTTGATGTTTTCAGACATATATTAATTAGAGTTGTTAGTGGTTCAACCAGAGCTGAGGCACAATTTTTAATGATGAATGCTGGAATATGATCAGGTCCCGCAGTAAATTTAGGCTTTAATTTTTATAGGGTATGATAAACATCTTAAATACTAAAGTTTTTGATACTAAGCTGGGAATATAAAAGCTACTTTTTCATTGTTGAATATTTCATCCTGTAAAAGTTTTGCATAAGCTTTCATTACTGCACCCCTTTTGAAAATGAACTGTAGATTCTATGTTACTTGTGAACTTTTTTCATTGGTTTTTTCTTGCAACATATTTATGGGAAGTGGAAATGTTTGTTACACATTTCAAAACTACTAAAAATTTCCAATTCCATTCGACATAAATGATATTCTTTCAAGTTGAAAGCCCCAACGTAGTGCTGAAACTTACCTTTCCAAGCGACAAAAAAAAGCATCTTTTGAATCATTTACATCTTTTCTCACATACTTGTCATAAAAATTCAACTGTACTTTTTCTATTTCGAATCCGAATTTTTCGTAAAGACAAAGAGCTGGATTGTTCATTGACACATGTAGGGTAATATCTTTGCCTTGGCTAGTCTGAAAAATACAAATTATGGAATAAGATAATGAGTTTTTATATACTTTCTTTTTTTACCTGAATTAGATGATATAACATGAAACTTCCAATACCACAATTTCTCCAATGTGGTCTCGTAAACATGAATGATATATAGTTTTCTGTATATGTAATGTCAGGCACCACGAAAGCAAATCCTACAACGAGTCTCTTATACAAAGCAACGCAGCTGAAATCTGGATATTGCAACGCTTCTGTCACTGAAATTGAAAATTTCTCATTTAAAGTGCAAGTGAATTATTTTTAGAATCTTATCTAGAACTCATGATGAAATCTAGTACATTTTCGGCTTTTATAAACATCTGACATTCACATAAGAAACTAAGGTTTCACAAAAGACACATTGATATTTTCTAAACCCAAGTTATCAAATAATGAACTATTTCGAAATTACTGAACTGGTCATGATCATAGACTGTTAAGTCTATTATTATCCTCTATCTGAAGAAGTTCTTGAAAAATAAACAATATTTGCAAATTCCAATAAACTCAAAGTACTTTCAAATCTGAGGCTGTAACAATAATATCAAAATTAAAATACAAAAAGTACTATGCTAATTAATTTATGCATTCCGTACTTGACAGATTACCACTTAAATCAAGATTGTATTATTTTTCAAAATAATTACAGTGAATAACTCAAAAGAAATGTGAACCCTCTTGTTCGAACCATTAGGCAAAAAACTATGAATTCCTAGTTTCAAAATAGTCAATTTTGAAAGAATGAATTATTCTCCAATATTATAAAGAATACTACCTTCAATTACAACATCATAAAGAACATTACAGAAAGATGAATTTAATTTTACATTTTTTCCAATATAAAACCCACTAATAATTTTTTTAAGTAACTACCAAATGGTCCCTTCCTGGCATTAGCCAGGGGAGTAGTTGTTTTCTGATAAGTGTCAGTCCATTAATCTAAAGTGTAGGTAATTTGAGACTGGCCTGAACGAATTGTTCTTTCATACAATTTGAAGACTGAAACACATTACAAGTGATATTCTGAGAATATCATATCTATCCCTATTTCTTTCTACCCTTTTATTCGGTATTTTTGAGAAAACTCATCTAATTCTGCTTTCAGATGTCAAAAAAAGCCATTCGAATCTCGGAAACTCTCAACTGTAAGGATCTTTTTGTCAGCAATTTATATGAATATGCCAAATCTCACTTGGCATATTCATATAACAGTAACAGAAATTAATCAAAACAGTATATTGTTACTTACACTCATACAAGATCGTCTGATCTCTTAAACAAACCAAGAAATAGATTGACTGTTTGCTATAGAAATTCATTAAATCATACTGAATCTTCACAACGTGATCATTCTAAAGCATTGGAATTGAAAAAATTAAAACCGTTATAACAAAACTTTTCATTGAAATTGAAAAATTGCTTTTATGATGTAAATGAGTACTTTGAAGCTTCAATTCATATTATTCTCCA